GGACAAAGCAAAGGAGCTGGCAAGACCAAGCATGGAACTTCATCGACCTCATCGACGACCAGCGGATCTTCGACTTCGGCATTCACGAAAGGTAGCGGCAAGTCCATGAGCAGTGGCAAGTCCATGCCACGACGACAGACCTACATCACCGAGGTCATTGATGAAGAGGCCTTGGAGGCCGATGAGTTTGAAGATGCCCATGAACAGCCCGATGAGCTTGAAGTCGAGGCCGAACAGGAAGAGCAGCCAGAAGACGAAGAAGGCCAAGAGGCCACAGATGATGTGACCGACGACTTGACCAACCTCGCACAGGTCCTGACGGTCACGGCTCGCAAATTGAGTGGCATCACCTTGGGTCGCAAGTTTTCCACCGGCAACAAAAGCAAGAAGTCACCGGATGAACTCCGAAAGGTGACGCATTGCTCTGCCTGCGGTGGTTTGGGGCACTGGTATCAGGACCAGGCACGCCCGATGAATCAAGGAGCTGGAGCTGGAAAGGCTGGCAAGTCTGGCAAGGGGTCCAAAGGATCTTCAAGCTCGAGCTACCGCCAGACCTCAGGCCCTGACAAAAAGGCTGATCGTCCTCATCAGGTCAGCGTGGTGCACCATGAGCACGGGTCCCTCGAGGTGAACGATGCACCCCCTTCAGACTATGGGACAATGTTTGCCATCAACATGGTCACCAACCTCCCTTTTCAGGTTCATGAGACCAAGGGCTTCGGGACTGGTGGACACGACCTCACCGGCTACATGGTTTTGGATTCGGCCTGCCAGAGAACATGTGCTGGCAAAGCTTGGTACCGGTCCCATGTTGACATGTTGTTCAAGCACCACCTCAAGACCAAGGAGATCCCCTCGGAAGATGTGTTTCAGTTCGGCAAGGGTGAACCAACGGTTGCACACGTAAGGGCCTATATCCCGGTGTTTTTCGACAACCACCCCCTTGTTGTTGGAGCAGGCATCCTCCCGGAAAGCATTCCCTTGTTGGGAAGCAATGCACTCATGGACTCCCTCGGTTCGATCATCGACCTGCCGAATCGAGTCGTGTACTTTTCATCTTTGCAGTGCACAGTGCAGTTACATGTCAAAGGAGGTCATTTTGCTGTTTCCATTTTGGATTTCAACCACGAGCACCCACAGCGTCTTCATGAGTGGAAAGCGTTTTCTGCACCACATGTTTGGCATGATCCACACCCTGAACTTCTCCTTCCGCCTCAGCCAATGAACGTCAAGGTGTCCGCTTCCACCTCGACATCCAATTCGTTGTTGAAGCCGCCCCAAGACCTTCCTCATGCGGACGGCGCCGCCCTCATGGCTTCAGCGCTGGCGCCGCTTGGTCTCATGCCTCGAGGCCTTCAAGAGGAACATCTGGATCTACATGGCGGGGGGCGTGCGATTGGGCATCATGCCCAAGTCATGGCTGGACCATGCAGTGCCGCCGGAGATGAGCCCACGACTTCATCCCGAGAAGTGCCAGCACACGGTGATCAAGCGGTACGGCAATGCGCATGGCAGGTTCGCACGTTGCCAAACCTGCCTTCGAAAATGGAAATGGAACAACAAGAAGGAAGATTGGGACATCTGGTCTTCCCAAGGAGGTGGCTATCTCGCTTCCTCTTCTCGACAATTGCCATTGCCACAGCCGTCATCGAAGGCAACGGCATCTGCAGGGAGCACCAGCAAGGCTCGACCGAAGCCCAAGGCCAAGAGCGCAGCAGTACCATGTTCGGCCTGGACATCAACTCTTTCGGGTTGGACGAGCTTCGAGATGGGCTACACGCTCCACACCGACCACTTGACTCAGGAGGAGCAGGTGGAGGTCTTCAGGATCCTGGAGCAGAGGTCACCGCTGGAAGCAGAGCCGACCACCGTGGCGGAGTTCGCCTTCCTCAACGAGGAGCACTTCAGGCCTCACCGGGAGAAGCTGGAGTTGGCGGCCGATCGAAAGAGGCACGAACGCCTGGTGGAGCTGGGCGTGTTGATCGAGGAGGACGAGGAGATCATGGATTGGGGCCTCATCTACGAGATTGTGAAGTCAGAGGGGCCAATGGACCAGATGGTCCACGATCCATAGCCCTCAAAAGCGGCCAGGCAAAACGACTTCGAGGAGACTGGAACAAGGCCGCTGACATCCTCGAGAAGGAGTGCCAGGTCTATGCAACAAGCAAGCCGACCATGGAGAGACCTCCACCCTATGCTGACCTCTGGGAATTGTTCGCTGGAAGTTCAAATATGACCCGGTTGGCAGCTCAATATAACCTGAACACCTTGCAGCCCATGGACCTCCTCTATGGCCAGAACTTCAAGGACCCAGCCATGCGTAAGATGATCTTCCAAAAGCTCGACCACTATAAACCTTGGCTGGTGATCATGGGAGTGGACTGCAGGTTATGGAACCAGTTCAACATCAACCTCAACTGGTCTTCACCAGACAGGCGGCTTGCACTACGCCACTTGCAGGACGATGAGAAGGTTCTTGTCGAGTTTGCCGTGGCGGTCGCACTACGACAACACCGGGCAGGGCGCTATTTCCTGCTCGAGAATCCACAGCGCTCACAACTGTGGAACTTGGAAGAGGTGACCGACCTTTTAGGCCTTCGCGGAGTTTGGACCACAGACCTGGACTGCGGAGCTTATGGAGCTGAAGTTGATGGACAACCAATCGCAAAACCCATGAGATGGGCAGGAAATCAACCTGGCCTACATGAACAGCTCAACCGTCGGCTCACACCTCTCCAGAAGATGTACTGCACTCCCATTCAGGGCAAGCTCACAAGACGATCTCAAGAATACCCTGATGAGCTATGTCACGCAGTACTTCAGGAGCTCCGTGCACTGATCTTCCAAAAGGAGCCCCTACGATTTGGACCACCGCAACACAAGGTCTATGCAACGGCCTACCCAACGTCCGATCTCGACCTATGGGATGACATCGTGAAGTACGTGGACAACGTCTACGAAAGAGGAGCCAAAAGACCTTTCAACTTCCCCGTGGACTCCGACATGGGCAAGAGGATTCAAGAGCTCTTCCGCATCAAGGCCGTGCGCATTCAGGCTTTCTATGCTCCGACTTCCAGGAGGATTCCGGCCAATGTGGATGAGTACTTCACGAGAGCAGCATTCCTTCAGTATGCTGACAAGACCCGCGCAGTTGAGGTCGAGGACTTGGACCAGATCGAGTTCCCAAGACAGCGGTTCTCAAAAGCTGTTGCCTTTGGCATTTTCGCCTACGGGTTCAGGATGGAGACCACTTCACCGGCTACACCGGCTCCAGATGCAGACAGGGCCATCATTCCAGGCCTCACCACTGACATCTCCTTCAGCGGTGTCGACGGAGTTGACCAACACGTGAAGCGGTCACTGGCCCGACTACACCTGAATCTGGGACACCCCAGTACTCAAGAGCTGATGAGGCTACTGGCGCATCAAGGACGCATCCCGGCCACAGTCATCAAAGCAGTGCAGGGCATGAGTTGCTCTACATGTCAACGACTGAAGCCACCTCAAGAACCACGACCAACCAGTATGCCTTCATTGGTCGCAGGGCAATTTGGTGATGAGCTGCAGGCAGATGTTTTCTACTGCCGACTACTGGATGGCACTTCGTTTCCGGTCCTTGGCATTATTGACAGAGCAACAGGTCTCCATATGGCTGGCCTCATGAAGAACCGCGACTCGGAGACCACCTTTGAGCTCCTCACCGACCGTTGGCTTCGACCTTATGGTCTTCCTTTGAAGTTCTCATGCGACCCGGACCGAACATTCCGGGGAGAGTTCGAGAAGCGCCTGATGTCACTTGGCGTCATCGTTGAACACTGCCCACCAGAGGCCCACTACCTCATCGGCATGATCGAAAGACGCAATGCCATCTTGCGCCTGACCATGGCTGATTGACCAGTTCGCCATCGTCGACTTGGCAGACGTCCCACTGATCCTGGTCCAGGCATGTCACGCCTGTAACACAATGGCATTCACCAGAGGACGCTCTGCATACCAAGCAGTCTTCGGAAGGGTCCCACGGCTGCCAAATGATGTGCTCACTGACGGACAGGTTTTGAGCACCTCCACTCAACCATTCCGTGACCCTGAACATCCTGGACTACGAGCAGAACTGGTGCGCAGTGAAGCTCTGAAGACTCTCATCGATCTTAATGCACAACAACAGTTCCGTCGAGCTCTACTGCGCAAGACAAGAAACACCAGCATCCCAGACCTCCAACCTGGACAACGATGCGCAGTGTGGCGCTGGACGAAGAAAGGAGTCCGCAAGAGAGGCGCATGGCTGGCAGCTCGATTTCTGTCATGGGATCCCGCCCATGAAGGAAAACAAGCCTGGGTGAGACTTGGTGCATCGACCACTTTGGTCACAGCAGAACAGCTCAGGGCTGCTCATTCCTTCGAAGACTGGTGCCCTGATGAGCAAGACATCAAGGTCTTGAAGGATGCCAGCAAGAACTTCGGCCAGCACATGCTGGAAGATGAGCGCGGTCCACCACCGCCTGAGGAAGCCTTGACCCAAGATGCTCACTTGGAGCAGGAGGCGCTGGAGTACGACAACACGGCACCACCGATGACACCAGCAATGGCTGTTCCGGCAACACCAGCTCAAGCCTCACAAGCAGCACCAAGCACACCAGCACCACAGGGCAGCACTACCACAAATGTGCAGGTCAACATCGACAGCCCAACTCACACGCACCATCACACCACGGTGCAGACACTACAACGGTTTGGGGATCTCCCCAAACAACTTCGCACTACGAGGTCGAGAGGACCCACCACACCTTTGGAATCAGCGCACTCCAAACGGACTCGTGCAACACCGGCTGAACTAGCAGCCAGCAGCACTGAACATTTGGCAAACACTGCCACGGGCGAAACAGCCCCAGCAATCGCACCGCACAGCGAGTTTCACCAAGCAGAGGTGGACACACCTCAGGCGCCTACCATTTTGGAGGAGCCACAACACCCGCCAGAAGGTCCTCAAGTCACCTTTGCACCTACACCGGCAGAACTGGTACCAGTACCAGACGATGAGGACCTGGCAGAACCTCATGAAGTACAACATCAACAGGAAGCAAATACAGATGCAGCAGCAGCAGGAACAAGCACTGAAGACGCGGCAGCTGCAGAGCCACAAGCAGAACAGGCACACACACCACAGCCAATGGCTGATGAACCACTTCCAACACTGCCAACGAAGAGGCCATTTGACACCTTGGCACTCTCACTCGAGGAGGACGGCACCTTCTCGCTGGCAAGCAGGTTCTGGAATGGCACACCGCCACAACACTATGGGCCACAAAGCAAAACCTTCTTCAAGTGCTACACCACTACAGCACAACGTCAGCAGGACATAGCAAACACAGACAAGCCGGCAGAAGAGTCTGACACATCCGTGGATTCGGAGGACTCTTCAGAACAAGCAGACAACAAGCAACCGCAGCGACAACACCATGCTGCAGGCCTCACCAGGCAAGAAAGGAAGCAACTGGACAGGGAAATCCCCTGGCGCCACATTCTGACCATGCCAGCTGCCTACGTTGACAAGTTCTTGGCAGCCATCGAGAAAGAGTCCAACAGCTGGTCAGAGTGGCAAAGTGTTCGACCCCTCACCAAGGAGGAGTGTCGCCAAGTCCTTCAGGACAAGATCTTAAAGAAGAGGATCATGCGCAGTCGCGCATGCTACAGGGACAAGAACGTCGGCCAAGGCGAAGTCAAGGCCAAGTGCCGCATCGTCTGCCTCGGTCATGAGGACCCTGACCTCGACCGGCTCTCCAGGTCATCACCGACCCCAGGCAGGACCATTGAGATGATCTGCTACCAGATGATCGTGTCTGGACTCAATGGCGAGCTCTTCAACACCACCTTGAAGTGGTCAGCCTGGGCTGGAGATGCGCAGACGGCCTTTCTACAGGGCCGACAAAAGGACAGCGAGCGCCCCTTGCCGCTCTACATGAAGGCGCCAAAAGATGGGCTGATCTCGAAGACAAGTTGCTGGTCCCACGAATTGTACCAGATCTTGGGCAATGTCTACGGCCTCTCAAATGCCCCACACCTCTGGAGCGAAGAAGTCTCTTCAAGACTGTCCACCATGGGCTATGGCCGACACGCCTTTGATCCCCAACTCTTCATCAAAAGGGACAGCCAAGATGATCCCATCTCCGCCATCCTCGTCTACGTGGACGACTTCTTGGGGCTGTTCAGAGAAGATTACGACATCTCTGAAGTGCAGAAGCTCTTCCGCTGGGGCGACCTGAAAGCCTTCGAGCCTGGCAATCCCATCACCTTCAAGGGGAAAGAACTCCTCATCGAGACCACTGATGAAGGTCGCTACAAGATGAGCATCAAGATGGAGAAGTTCATCGAAGGGCTCGACAGCGGCAAGATCCCCAAGGGCAGGTCCACCCAGGACCCCAAGCTGACGGCCTCAGAGCACCAAGAGTTTAGATCCGTCAGCGGATGTTTGCAGTGGACTGCAACACAATGCCGACCTGAAGTGTCGCCACTGGTGTCCCTGGCCAACCAAGGAGCTGAGACATCTCAAGTCTCTCTACGATGGCATCAGCTACTTAAAGAAGACAAGCTCCCAAGGCCTTTGCATCCAGGACATCCCCTTCCGCAAGGACACCCTCATCCTGGCTTTTTCAGACGCCAGCTGGTGCAATGCAAGCCGCTCAGGCTCACAGATCGGGCTGCTAGCAGGCTTCACTACTCCCTCCGTGAAGATGCAGCCCACGAAGTACACGGTCATTGACTGGAGGAGCTGCCGAGCTCCAAGAGTGTGTCGGTCCACACTCGCTGCAGAAGCATGTGCAGCAGACGAAGCATCGGATAGGGCAAGCTACTTGAACAGAATGGCGTCCGAGCTTCACTTCAACGAGCCAGCGCACCGAGTCGGAGCTCGAATGGCTATGGCCCAGGCCATCGACGCGAAGTCCCTCTATGACGCCTTGCTGGCTGATGCTCCAAACATCTCGGACCGGAGAAGCTTGGTCTCGGTTCGATCAGTGCAGGAGGTCATGTGACCTGACCAGGTCCACTGGATCCCAACGAACTATGAGTTCGCCGACGGCCTCACCAAGGTGGACGAAAAGCTCATGTACATGTTCAGGGCATGGCTGGAGAGCCCCATGGCCGTCCTGGTCGAGCATCCTGAGAACGCCAGCATTTTGGCTAGGCTAGAAGACAGTGTGGCCAAAAAGAAAAAGACCAGTGAGAAAATCGGCCATGCATTCGCTTCCATGTTGACCACACTGCCCTTTTGGCCCCGGTTCTAGGATCCTCGAGCCACTCGTTCCTTCGCGTTCACGCGGTGCGGAAATGGCGTGCTGCTGAGACGACACGTCTTGACAAGAGTTTGTTTGTTTGTTTTTCTTCCTGATGTTTGTCTCTTTCACTTGTGGTTTCTGCGACAAGCAGATGTGCTTGGTGGTTGGATGACCTCGTAACTGCGAGAACCCAGAAGTGGACCGAAGAGATACTGTAGATGTACTCACACGACATTTGAAGGGGTACCTTACCATACGCATAACTCGATACTATAGCTTACATTGACACTGACACCACTTCGGGATATCGTCTCCTCACCGAAAACGCCCTGGTCATCCCTGGTCCATTCCTTGGACATCGCGCCTCAAGGTCCAAGCCAGCTACCAAGCTGCCCAAGCCCAAGGTCGGCCAGCCGTCCGTTGGGCGGATGTCTTTAGGGACAACGGTGGAGGGTCACCACCAGGTGCATGACTTGAGTTGTGGGACTCTCTCTATTGCACCGTGGTTCCTTTGGTCGCCAAGCTCCACTTGTTGTTTGTTCGTCATGCTCTAAACATTCTACTCTACAGGCGTGTTTGAGCGACTGTTTGTGAGTTGAATGACTTTGTTGCATTCTTCAGGATGGAAAAGTGGGTGCCCCCTTTTCCTGACTTAGTCATCACAAGTCTTGAGCTAGGCCAAGGTGTTTTTGTTTGAGACCTGCGGCGGTCGCTTGTGAGGCTCCAAAGCAACCAGCGAAGGTGGATGAGGCGACGGTCCGCACGGTCCACAAGCGACGGTCCGCACGGTCCACGTCGCCTTGTCGACGTGTTGCAGGAGGAGGCTGATGGCGAGGACGTTCGACCGGCCGGTGGATTTCCCGGAGCGGCTGTTTAAAGAAGGATGCAATTACAAACGGTCGGAGTCCAGATATTTATCATTATGCAATAGTTCTATATGGTACAGCAGAAGGCTGGCGATTTGTTTGTTTCCTTTTTTGAGGTTCCTTCTCCTAGTTAGTACATCTCTTCAAGCGATGCTGCATTCCCCTCTCCTTTGGTACCCCAAGCCAAGCCATGTAGCCACCAGGACCCTGCTCCAGACGTGGAGCTGAAGAGAATGAAAGAACTCCTGGGCGATGACATTGAGGCTGAAAGCACCACACACACACACCCACCAGCACAAATGATGGCCTCCTTCTTAGCAGATCGCACGAGACCGAACTGACTGATGTGATGCGTGGCCGTCGTTGCTTCAACGACTACACGTGGCCGTGCGGTGCGTCTCCACTTCCCCAAGCCTGCGAGATGTCGAGGAGGACGATGAGGACGAAGAGGACAAGGATGAGGACGAAGATGAGGACGAAGACGAGGAGGGCGAAAGCAAATCCACCAAGGCCGCGAAGGCGAAGGCGAAGGCGAAGGCGAAGGTCTGGGCGCCTGGGCGCATGGTTTCTTTTCATGTCCCACATCTCGGTACGCCGCTTCGCACGGAATATGGGACTCACTTTTTAAACAGTGGCTTGGGCCATGACTTGCCGCAATGCTCATTGTTTTGGAGGTGAACGGTTGTTGAAGAACACAGCACAGCGGAAAACGGTTGTTTGCTGCCCTAGGAGATTGTCAATAAGATCATGTTGTGGTTGCCCACTGTAGCTCCAGCTTGGCCACGTTCAGGCAGCAATCAGAAAGCCAGGCTTTGACATCGACCAAGGGTGTGCCCGGCTGCTTTTATGTTGAATGAACTGCATGCACTCTCCACGTGCATAGGGTGCGGTTTCCGACACAGCCAGGCAAACCATCTTTGTCCGGAATGTCCCGTTCGATGCAACTGCTGATGATTTGAAAGAGGTGGGTGGGGGTCGACTCGGTCTCCGAGTAGACCAAAGCTTCCCTGATTGCCCCCACCCACGCCGCGTTCCATACGCTGCCGGTTCGGCCGAGGTCTTCCGCCGGTTCGGCCGAGTGGGCCGGGGCCTCGGTGAGGGTGGAGAGAGCGGGTGGTGGAAGCCTGGCGAACGGTTGGCCCAGGCTTTGTGAAGTTGGTCGCGGACAAGACAGGACCCTCAGCGAAACTCGCGCACAGTGGGGACTGCAGCGGCAGGGCAGAAGGAGAACGCCATGTCCTGCAGGACAGAACGCCCACCGGGGATCTGCATTCGTCAAATTCGCCGAGGCCGATGTTTGGAAGATTGCATTTAGTTGAACTGGTTGTGGGTAACCCTGCAGCCCCCTCCATTTGTACAATTCTGATCTTTTTGATGTGCATTGTCCAACAAGCTTGTTGCTACGACCGCAGCTGAGTGGTTTCCACAGCTGCCTGGAAACAAGGAAGAAAACGCAATGCCAAAACAAACCATTACTTCACCAATCGGAGCCACCACAGGAAAAAACAAACGAGCACTCCCAAACTCAGCATTCGAGCTACAGCTATTGCCAAGTCCAAAGCATTGACGGCGCGTTTCGTTGGTTTCGTTGGTTTCCAGAGCAGCATGGTGGCGGCGTGGGCTGTAGCGACCTCAGGTCAACTGCCACCAGAACTCTGAGATCGGCCCCCAAGCTGGAACCATATTGGAAGAATACGATCAACGCGTATCAACGGACGGTGGAACTCACATTGTGACTCATGTGGCCTCGTTGTGCAACGAAGGGTGGCTTGTCTTTTTGCAACGGGGAAGAGAACCCGTAAGTCTTGGCTTTTTTGTGTGTTGGCCAAAACAAACCTCCGCTTCGGAAGCGTCACTAATGGACGCGTCAGAGTAGACCGTAGCCTGGTTCTTTTGGAGTCTTCATTGGGATGAGGTCTGTTGACCAGCTGCCTTCTGGTGAGTTTAACAAAGAACAGTAGCTCCACATCCATGAAATGACCACGAAAACGGTTTCCCCCCCCCATAGGACGCTCGCTTCAACGGATCAACGGATCGTGGTCGCGCAGCTCGCACCGGCTCGACACTCGAGGCGGAGGAGGAAGTGCTCGAGGGGGCCCGTAGGCCTAGGTCCGTGTCCGACTTCTGCGTGCGGTGCGCCGGTTGGGTCGTTCCGGCGGGGTGGAGCGTTGAAGCCCAACTGTGGGGGGTGGACCTGGGGACCTGGAGTCACTCCTTCTTGGGTGGGGTCCGGTGGAAGATTCCAATCGCGTGACCCGATTTGAAAGGCAACTTTGTGGAGATTCTTGAACTCAGGTGGTTTGCGGATGTGTTTCCCCTTCACGAGCAGCTTCTGCATCATGACTTGCAGATCGCAAGTGGTGTCAACCTGGTCAACCTGCGCCTCCACCTGTGAGGTACGAACTCATCCCACGAAAGCCATCGGACGGGGACAAGGTTGGCTGCAAAGCAGAGGAATTGGCGACGACAAAGCGGGTTTGTCTCAAAATAAGTGGTGCCGCCCCAGCCAAGCTCCCCGTGATGGGACAAGTAGATGAACACTCCTTGGCTGCCGGTCACCTCATTTTGACACAAGTCTTGTGTTCTTGTCTCAACTGAATTGCTTGTTTTGATGGACAGGTGTCGCCTCATGCCTACTCTCCTCACTTGCAGGAGATGAGAGAGATTTGTACAGAATGAATGTGTGCATTTTCCAAAGCTGTTGCCAGACGCCACAACCGCAGGATCCAACATGCGGCAGTCCTGTTGTCAGTCCTGCGTACAGAGATACTGATCACATTCAGGACGCAGAGACTAATGGGATCGCAAATGCAACCAACACAAACCAAAACAAAACAAACCAAACCAAACCAAACCAACCAACCAACCAACCAATAAACCAAAACGCAAAAACACGAAAACGCCCAAACCAAACTTAAACAAACACTACTTTCAGACCCTTTGCAGTTCATGCTCGCTTGCACCTGGCAGGTGCAACTCATTTCAGGGATTTTTGGGACTGACACCCCACGCCCCACAAGAGATGGAGTTACTGGAAGAGGATGGAGTTACTGTACTCATCTGTCCTCGAACATTTCCGTAGGAGTCGGATCGATCTGTCAGATCTTCAGACAGGAACCGGGAACCGTCAAGCTGGAACCGATCCGTCAAGACGGCTGGCTGGAAAGTTCTGGAGGTTTGTTTGTTTTCGGTTTTTCACGTTCGATTCAGTTGGAAAGACGCTCGGTTCTTGGTCCATGTGACCTGGCAGGAGCATTTCGGCAGCCCTGTGGGCAGTCCTGTTGCCTACCAGGACTGTGAGGACCCGAATTGGCCCCAGACCCCTCAATGGCGCGACCGTGCCCATGGAGAAGTGGGCTTTGAAGAGGACCGGCGACGAGGGGGCGTTTGGGGAAGCTTTTGTATGCTTTTGTGGTTGATAAGGGGGTTTGCTCTGACATGACGTGTTTGACTGACTTTTCGTCAGCAAACCACGTGTTTTCAGGCCAACAACTGGTCAACGGCTGCTTTGACATGTCGCTTGGTTTCTCAAGGAGGTTCAGAGCTCCACAGCTGATCAGAACTCGGGTGCCTCACAAGGACGGTCTGGGGCGGTCTGGTGGGAGTGAGGAAAGGAGACATGCACAAACGAGACGAACAGCAAGCGCTTTGAACTCCTGGTCTCGTATGTTGGCCTAGGCTATCCGTACATGTGGGTGCCTGTCACATGGTTGCACCTAAGCCGGCTTGTGGAGTTGTCAGAGCAAAAGAAGTATATACCCAAACTCACACCCAGTGATTTTCGAGGCATTCGGTTCGGTTCATGGATTTCATGGATGTTTATCAAGAGCACTGGGTTTTGACCCAGATCCAAAGGAGTGACTTTGGTCAAAATCACTTCAGCATAGGTCACGGGTGCAGCGCAGCAGCAATCGCAGCCTGAGCAGCAGCAGCCGCCACAGCAAGAGCAGGCATCCTTGGACCAGCAGAACGCGCATGGACAGCAAGTTGATTCTTGCTTGCAATTATTTTTTGCCAAGAATGATGCAGATTGAAGCTTGGCCACCTTATCCCCACCAACCGCATCTGCCTGGACTTTGCTCCGCATCTGCCGTTGTTTTTCGAGGCCGCTCCGATGCTTTACTATTGCGTGGGCTTTGTCAATGCCGATTCCTTGCAGCAGTCCGGTGACTTCACAGGCGATCGATGGCCGGGTCGATGGCCGCGCAGGGTTGGTGAAGAGCCGCAGGGTTGGTGAAGATCCTGGAGCTCCATAACATCACACACACACAGTCTCTCCGTCTCTCCGTCTCCCTCCCTCCCTCCCTCCCTCTCTCTCTCTCTCTTTCTCTTTGTGATCATTCTTCATGGTTTTCCTGCTAGCTGCTAGCTCTTCAATTCAGAAACGCGCTGTTTTGGAGCTGCACCCTTTTAATACGAGGTATGCCATTAGGGAAAGGGTCATTTGAAATGATCCCAATGTGCAGCAAAAACGACAGATGGCATGCAGCAAGCAGAGTTTGTCGCAAGGTGGCTGGCAACAGGAGAGCCCAGACAGCTCTTATTGGACACCAGCGTGAAGCTCAGGTCGTGAACATTGTAGCTAGGCTAATGTGTACCTTGTCCTGGCTTTCTGGATATTCTTGGATCATCACATACCCCCCTAAACCATTCTAAACCCATGAATGTCACTGATGATTGGGAGGCTTCCATTGTTTTCTTTGTTTTTGAACCACTTCCGTCCGGACGTTCACACCACCCGGCTGCCACCCGACTGCCACCGCGATCGGACTCTGATCGGAGATCTCCACGGTTGAGGAACCCTCTCAGCCATCCCGAAGTACCAGATCCAAGTCGCGACATGAGACCCCGCCAAAGGTGCTGCAGGCGAGGGTCCCTGCTTTGGCATGTGAAACGCAGGAACTTCCGTGACGTGACGCAGAACTAACTTCCTACTTCACCTGGCAGTCATGATCCACTAATTACCCGTTCGATGTAGAAGGAGATCATTTGGAGTTGAAAGGGATTGCTTTGGTCAAATGAATCTGAAGGAGTCCTGGAAGGGTCCAGTGACACCACGGTTCGCACTCTTAACTCGCTCGGTGACACCGCGGTCGTCGTTCCCGTGAAGGCCGGCCAGGTACACCGCGATGCTTCCAAAGGCGCGACCAAACCGCTTCCGTTGGACATTTGTATAGGTTTGCACTTTGGGAAGAATCATGTTTCGTTCGTTGAAGCGCTTTGCGTTGGTTTCCCCCAGATCAACCACCTTCAGGATACCAATCTCTCCGATCCTCGTGCCACTCACATATGGTTCTGGTGTGGGAAGGTTCTGAAGCTGCTCTGGTCAAGGAGGAAGAGCGCACCACGATCATGCTCCGGTCGAGATGCCCAGCGAAAGAGCAGACATTCCCTGACGACAGATTGACAGATTGACTTGCAAAGACTGCTCAGACTCTGCATGAAAGCCTCAGGAATATCCCAAAGGACTCCGGGATTCAGCCTGCCGGTGCTATGGTTGGGCAGATGACTTGCAGGAGACTTCATGTTGGACAGATCTCATGGTTTTGTGACTGGTGAGGACACCACGCGAGAGAAGATGATGGACTTGCTGAATACCTTAGGCCACCGCTTTTCGCTGGGGTTTGTGGGTGAGATGGTTCTTTTGAGCTTTGCTTCGGTGACACCCCACTAGACTCATCCGTTTCATGCAGGATATGCGAAGATGTACGACTTTCTCTACTTGCCTCGTGATTTCAAGGCTCTCCATGACTTCGAGCTTCGAAGCTGCGTCACACCGTCACACCTTGTGACGCACTGAACGAAGCTGAATTCGTTCGCACATGTTGTTAGGACAACTTTGCCATTTATGGCTATGCCTTTGTGAACTTTGTCGACAATTCCCACGCGAGCAAGGCCCGGATCCACCTGGTGGTGGGATTTGTTCGGTGTGGAGTTGTGGGATTGGGGTTGCGGGTTGGGAACTCTGGTGTAGGGGTAACATATGGGTGTGAGTGAAATCGGGGGACCTTGGTTAACCGCTGAAGATGAACAGAAGAGACTACCACAATCTACCACAAATGGTGAACCGAAACCATGGTTTAGTGAGGGTGCCGTGACCCACTACCATATGGCAGCATGTTGAATCCATGAATTTTCCGAGTGCTTTTCTTGTGGGTGGATTGGGTCGCGTGCATCTCCAGGCTTTAGAATTGTTTAATGGCTTTATGGACTGGCAGAGCGGTGCACCTTGGTTGCAGAGTGACGGTTGGTTGAACCTTTCCGTCGTGTGATGGTTCGACTGATTTCT